GGAAATTGTATTGATTCCTCATTTGTTTTTCAAGTATAATTTGGATGTAATTTTCAATTTATCAATAAGATTTCTTCTTTATTTGTTATAATCTACTCTGATTGATCATTGAATAGGAATTTATGTTATGTATGTTCATTCTTTAGCCTCAGTCTAATTCTATTGAAAACGTTTTAATATTTACACTAGCCTATAGGACTTCATATCATGTTTTAATGTTAAATGGTGACTGAAGGAAATCAGTAAAAATGATTACATTTAGGTTTTGAACTGGTTCATATTCAGTCACTCACTCACAGCACAGTTTGCTTAGATCTTCCAATATTATAAATATCCGTTGATGAGTATTAAATAGCATGAAACCTAGGTTCAATACGTCCTACCGATGGTTTCCATAACATTATTTGTCTCTATAAATGGTATTGTGATGTGTGCCACTTATATGTAGACATAAGTAGTATATGATGTTAGTCGTGAACAGAATGTCTGGCAGCAGAGAGACGAGAAGATCGGACAGTAAAGAATGGAAACTGAATGCAATTTGTATGAAAATGCAAGAACAAAGGAAGTCTCAGCCATTTGAGATAATTGATGGAGATTTTGCAAATTGAGCCTTTATATATAAGGTTGTTAGATTTTATTAACAATTCCTGATATTGGGTGTCATATGCATTCGATTGTCCCCATTGGTGTTCTTGTTCACTACAGTATTTTCTTGATTTTCTTAAGCTATTGTTTTGGTTTTATTTTAATATCTTCATATAAATTCTGTTTCTAACTTATTGTATCATCAATTGCACTTCTGTTATATGACTTAAGGAAAGTTGTTGTGAATTAACAGTACAATAAACTTTTCATTCTCTTCAAATTCTTCATATTATTTTAAAGAATTGATGATTTGTTTCAACATTTGTTTGTTTATAAGTGAAATAATCGGTTAATGGTTAAGATGGTCGGCTTTTGGTTACTAATCACGAGATCTGAACCCTGCCCCACCTAGTTTGGTTCGGGCAATTGGGTAGTAGTAGTATTATTTGTTCTCACACTTGAAGTGTAGCTCATAAGCAACTACATATGGGCAGGTTTATTCATTTAAATAATAACTGTTCATTTGAACATGCATGACAATGGTTATTTTATTGACAGTTATATTTCAAATCTTCGATTTATAGCATTTAATCAGTTTTATATTCTAATATGACTTTTTTGTTTAATGAGATATTAGTTTGAACTCTATCTAATCAGTGCACATTGCAATCTTATAAAAGATCAATCACTGTTCTAATAACCCAACAGTGACATTTGAGGCTATGATAAATTTATTTATTTTAACATATAGATATTTGTACAAGGAGGCACCAAATACACATGCAACACACAGATGTCATTTAATATGTGTGAAGGCTGTGATACTGCCTGGATGACCAAACGGAAACAGGTGGTTTTCTTAGGGGGCCACACCCTGAGCCTTTGACCTAAAGGTCTAATCCACAAGGCAGTGGAGCATCGTGAGGAGATACAGTCCCATGGTAGTCGGTGACCGACGATTGGTTCATACGCCATTTGTTGCATCAGGATACTGGAGCCAGCCCATGTGCACCATTGTTTTTGGATCCGGTTAAAGCCGGTGCCGGAATTCGCTTTTCGTCCTCTCATTTTCGTAGACAACACCCCCGCCACGTGAAGGAAGTGAGTAGGACTTCTCTCACAGAGGCTATAAAAAGATTAAAATAGATTGTTTTATGTAAATATTCATTATGTATCAATATTTTATTTACTGTACTTAGAAATTAAAATAAAAATCATTCATAATAAAAATAAAATTAATTGACCATATAAAAAACTTTTATTTAAATAATACTCAAATAGATTTATGGGTGAGGCAAAAATGTTGTATCCAATTAAATAGTTTAGTTCCAATATTATTTACTCAGTAATAATAATTAATCTATGGAAACAGAATTAATAACGTTTATGCATAAATCATAACTTTTTTTTTTATAATTTATTTGTTTTACTTTAATATTGATTGTATATAATGTTTTGAATGTTTACGTTATTATTATATACCAAAACAATAATCCATAAAAGTAATGAAAGAAATTGGTTTTGTTAACTGCTATCTTCTAATTTGAACATCAGCTGAAAAGAAACTGGAGAGAGTAAATAAGTGTTAAAATCTCAATTGGTTGTATATATAATCATAGAGTAATGAATCTAGGTGAAGTTATTGATTCTATCGATATAAGAAAAAAAAAATAGTCAATAGGCGAACTCAATAGTAAACTATGGCTATAATCCAGTGAGTAACCTAATCATAATGGCTTCAGTAAGAAAAACAGTAATTTCTTACGTTTGTTTGTTGTTTGTTTTTTTTTGAATACCTAATAATATTCTTAACAGAGAGTATAAGAGACTTATTTGTCATATACTATGGTACTATTAAACAATCAATACAATTTTCCCATTTCTATGTATCATAAAACAACAAACAACCCTGAATAGAGAGAGAGAGAGACAGAATTCAAAATTTTGTAATTATCATTTGTAGTTATGATTGTATAGGGTAGATAATGCATATTTCCTCTCAACTCATTTTTTTTATCTAAGCTTAACTTATGAGATGGTGGAGAAGAATTTTCGCTCATGCGGATGGTTTTGGTGGAGTTTTGTTCTCTAAGCTGGATGATTAGCTCAGAGAACAAAACTCCATCAAAAAGCTTAACTTATATAATCTAAATCAATAAATAAGTTTTAATGTTTTCTAACTAAGGTGTTAAAAACTAGTTCACTTTGTAATTAAATCTCTCGCCCCCCTCCTTACTTTTAGTCGGATTTTGTTAAGGCTAATTTATTTCAATTTAAAATAGTCTCTATGCAATTTAATTCGTTATTTAATGATGATATTACTAATGAAATAAAATTAAGTAAAACTTAATCAATGACTACATACACTTGGTATTGTTTGTTTGAATGTTCCCATTGATGTTTTGGATTACAAATGACCAATCTTTTATTATCATATGTCCATACTGTACGTATTGCCCCGATATAATCATTATCCATCTTTGCATATAATACTTGTGAATTAAGGTAATATCGAGGCAATCCGCATATGATGCACATACGCCAATAAGAGACTGATCAGTTGTAGTCATAAAAAACAATGGGAAGATTCAAGTAAGACAATACCAAGTGAATTTTTAGACTTCACCTCATTGCACATGCAAGTGGCTATCAGGATTCAGTAGCTAAGTCAAGAATGAATTAGCGTTTGAAGCGAATAGTACTGGGTTTAAGTCCCGCAGTGAGCATCAACTCTGAGATGCAAGCACATTCAACTAACATGTTTCAAATAGGACGAAACTCGCGTCCTGGATTCCACTGCTAGCCACTATCCATCTTCGTATGTAATCATTGATTGTGTTAACCAACTTTAAAACTACTTAGCAGTTCGTATGAATGGTGCTACAAAGGAATAGACTCACAATCTTCAGATCATATAGCAGACAAGTTACTGATAGGTTACTCAGTAGAAATCTAAGTTTTCAATTTTTGTTGGTTATTTTTTATAAAGAGAATTGGCTAGGTGATTTTATAATATTTTTGAGAGCTTAAAACAATATTAAGCTTAGTTGAGTCCACTGTACTTTTTATTCAAGTTGGATATTGGATGGCAGTAGAATTCAGGAGTCACGTTTCACCCTATTAGGGACTTATCAGTCGGATTTAAGTGCATCCAGTTTGAATGTTTAAATTACTCAAGTTAGTGGTTGAATAGAAAACGCGTTGACGTCTACAAGCATTAGGTACTGAGTCGAAGTCATCAACACTAAGATAAGGGTACATCCAACTAATCAGCCCCAAATGGAGCAAAACTCACATTCTGCATTCTGTTCAAATATAATATAAATTGTGACTGAATGGCGATATCAAATCAATCCACTCAGAATGCACATATGCCAACAGTTGTTGATTAATTTTGTTTCTTACGATCAACAATAACCACATAGACTCATAGAAATAATTCTATTCTCAATTCAACTTTCATCCTCATTATTTAATACTTTAAAATCTCGTGACTTCTCGTTATACTTCATGAAACGTCAGTCAGTCAGTCAGCTGCAACGTAGGACCAGGCACATATATGCATCGGTCCATGTTGTGATACCGCATTAGCACAACAAGATGAACACCGGATTCAAAGAGGTAGTCACATCACAGGCAGTAGTATATAAAAGAAAGATTGTGTATAAGAATATAACACAGGAAGAAAGAATTAATTCGTAGGAAGAAAGACATGAAGCGATTTTGATCTCATAGTTTAAGGAAAGACAGTGAGTGAATACACTGACGCCATTATGATCGATTCTGAGACATGTCACCAATAGTCTCTAACCATTGGTTACGATAGTCACGCGGAACCCGACCAAGTAGTCTGCATGTTCCAACATGGCTCAAACCAGAAGTTAGTGACTTCAAGCACTAATACCACGTTTTGGTTTGGCCGCCCCTAACTTTCTTCCAATTATCCCTAACACCAGTGAGCATTGCGTGTCGTGGTAATCGGTGTTCAGGCATACGCATCACGTGGCCAAACCATCTCAGTCGATGAAGATTCATAACCTCATCGACTGATTTACTATCATTCCCTAATACCCTGCGTCTAACCTCACTATTACTTACCCGGTGATCCCAGCGGATACCAACAATATTTCTAAGGCATCTGTGGTCGACTACTTGTAGCTTACGAGTATCTTCAACTCTTAATGGCCATGTTTCGCTGCCGTATAGTAGAACGATATCAAAGCTATTTTTATTTTACTAATAATCTAATAACTTAATCCAATGAGAGAAAATCCTCTGAGACAATATTCGGCTCGAACGATGTCTCAAATTTAGTATACGTCTTCCTAATATATAGTAATCAGTACCAAATGTAAAATTGATAAAGAGACATTTAATATTGTCTGTTATTTGTTTTGTTTTTTTAACTTTAGACATTTGCTAATCGAATCTACGGTCCAGCATGGTGGATTATGCCAATATTTGTTGCTTTCTCAACATTTGGTGGTGTTAATGGCAATATGTTGACTACATCGAGGATATTCTTTGTAGCTAGTCGTGAATCTCATATGCCCAGATTCATATCATTTCTTCATAAGGATAAATTGACACCAATACCAGCTGTCCTTTTTACTGTAAGAACAATATTTAATTCTTAGATTGAATAAATTTTATAGTGTGCAAAAAAAAAAATAATTACCTTGTCTTGTTGTAGTTGGCCGAGTTGTGACTGGTTTTTGTTCCCAGTTGATCGAAATCTGTTGACTAAATTGCAGTGTAGACACTTATCTAAGTGATTCGACATTATTTGCACTATATTAGGTGTTTGAAGTTAATCAGCAAGAAACTCTGCTTGACATAGATTTCGTGCTAGGTGCTTCTTGGCAGTAAGACGTACTAGCGATCTCAAAGAAGCTGATATAACCTGTAGGATTCGAACCCAGGTTTTCTTTTAAACACTTATTATCTCGATATGGTGAACATGATATCGAGTCACACAGACTAGTGCCCACACCGAAACTTGGTTGACAGAATTTCATCAGCCCTAAAGAACAAAACAAATATGACATTGATCAGTAGTCGGTGACAGTCCAGTCGTAAATATTTTAATCTTACTGGAATTCTATCACTACTCAAATAGTTGACTCGTAACATCTCGGACTGTGTTTCTTTGTGTTGCGAGTTCGAACACAGAAGGGAGCAATAGTTACCTGTATATTTGAGGTACACCTTGGTTATGAATGCCAACGAGTACGAACCTAGGCTCAGGTTTTATTATCGATTAGCTTTAACCACCTAACATCGTTAATGTTTATTATTTATTCCATCGTAGCCTACTTATTTAAGACTTTAAGTAGACAGTATCTGTTATCATTTATTTGACAGGATAAGTTTATGCAGATTAGTAAAATATAAATTTGTATTGCACAATTACAGTAGCTTAATTTTTAGAGCACTCAAATCTTAACTACTAAAGTAGGATCATAAATACACCTTCAACTATCAAGATTTCGGTTACGAGATACTAGTATCACCAACCCTTACACTGACAATTTGGCTCCTAGTCAAGTCAGTAAAATCGTGATTATTAGGTTAATTTCATTACTACTCTTATTATTACGCTAAGTAAAAACTGATAAAAAAATCAGTCGAAAAATATTGTTTTCAGTCGAAGCATTCATTATCTTAACATTTTTCACGTGTTGAGATAAGAAGGGATATTAGAAATTTGAAAAATCGATGCGATTGCACCTTGTAACCATATTAGTTGATGTTTAAGTTTTAATCTTCTATGATAATATTGTAATATTAAAATTGTTCAACATCTAATGATCAGGTATCTGTTTCCAACCCAGTTATATATATATATATAGTATCAGCAGTTCTAATGTAAAAATCTCTCAGTATAAGGTTGTGGAGATTATTACGTTTTTGGTTGAGATCATGAACCGATTGATGTTAGACCACTATTGAAAACCTGAAAACACTGGATGGCCGTTTCTTCTTACCGTGGGACTCCTCAGCAGTGCGCATCCGCGATCCTGCCTCGCGAGATTTCAACCCAGGACCTATTGATCTCGCGTGCGAACGCTTAACCTCTAGACCAATCAATCGACATCCAACGGTGTTAATGTCTAACCTCAACTAATCCATGAAATTGCGTGACTATCTTCCATTGTACTGAGGTAGATACTTGTCTCTACCCGAAACTGATTAGCTTTACTGGTCATGGCTTTTCATTAGAAATCCGAGAATTCCCTCACGAAGCTAATCACTAGTGAGCACATGGTAGTCCCACAATAGAACGAATCGGCCGTCCAGTGCTTCCAGGTTTTCAATGGTGGTCTAGCATCAATCGGTTCCTGATCTCAAGTAAAAATCTCTGCTAGCTATTTTTTTCATGATAATAGCTTATAATTACTCATGAAAGGCTACATTTTTGATACTTACTCGCTATAAGTACAACTTCATTAAAATACATAGACTCATTGATTGATTATTACGTATGATAACTATCCATTAGCTTATCTGTTTCTCCATTTATATTCTATTTTTTCCCTTTTCTCAAATGTTCTTTTGTTGTTTCTTCATTTCATTATCTTCATTGCCAAAGTGTATCACTGGTATAGCTTATCTTCTTGTAACAGATATTTATTCACTGATGACTTATTTGGGTTTTGTTCAATGGTTAGCTATTGGCGTATGTGTAATGATTGTTATTGTATTCAGATATACACGACCTGATGCCATACGTCCAGTTAAAGTAAGTATGATTGTTTTCTTGTTGATTTGTTTAATATTCTTGTTCGACTTATTTTTTCATCGAAACCACTTAAGTATTCTATACTTACTTATTTACTTACGCCTGTTACTCCTCGTGAAGGAGCATAGGCCGCTCACCAGCATTCTTCATCCAACCCTGTCCTGGGCAATCCTTTCCAGCTATTTCCAGTTCTTATTCATCCTTTTCATATCCGCTTCTATTTCCCGACGTAATGTGTTCTTTAGCCTTTCTCTTTTCCGCTTCCCTTCAGTATTCCTCAGTATTCTATAGTAAGCTTAAAACCGTTGACATTCAGCTAGTGAGTGCTATGTTTGCATACCACTCTGTTTAATAAGTGTTACGTCGGCAATTAGTATCAATAGCTCAAGTATTAAACGTGTAATTTAATATCGAGTAAATAAACAAAGATATTGGTCACTTAAGCTGATAGAAACATCGCAACCTAAATAATAGGATTCAATTATATGACATTATTTGCTGATGAATGATTAATCAATGTAAAAATCTCATTTGTTCAGTAGAACCATTCAGCACCAATCAGCGCAGTGGTAATATCTTCAACTGTTAGATTCAAGATTTCAACAAAGAAAAAATACTGTCAAGTTTTAAAGTGATTATTTATTTATTTATTTGAACACATAAATATTGGTACAGGGGGGGGCACAAAATTTGTATGCGCCACACAAAACAATGAGAATGGGAAGAGAAAAAAGGAGGTAAGGAGCGTAAAAGAATAAAAAAGGACAACATTAACGACTAGATTAGTGTAATGTAGTGTAATAATAATAATATTAATAATAATAGCGAAAACGGAAAGTTACAATCAAGAGAAATCTTTCAGTTAAGGAAGATACAACAACTTTTTATGAAGAAAGTAAAAGAAGGTTACAACAGGATCACGACTGGCTTCTATTCTGAGCCATATCTGATAACGTCTCTAACCATTGTGTCGCACCATCTGTCGGACCCCAGCCACAGGGACGTAAAGGACCAACAGAAGCCAGCCCTTTGCAGTTTTCTTTCATACCACGACACCACGTCATATACTGACCACCTCTCCGCTTTTTCCAACCAGTCCCAGAGTCGGCAATTAATGCTCGACGTGGAATTCTCTGGGATGACATTCGTAGAACATGTCCAAGCCACCGAAGTCGATGTTTCAAAATGGTGACGCCAATTTCATTATCGTATCTGTGACCGAACAAACGATGCCGAACCTCTGCATTACTGACATGGTGTTGCCACTGGATGTCAGCAATCTTTCGGAGACAGTGATGATCGAACACAGAGAGTCGTCTAACATCCACAACTCGGAGGGGTCACGTTTCTCAAGCATAGAGCAAAACTGCTCTCTCCGACGCGTTGTAGATCCGACCTTTTACAGCCAGACTAACATCACGAAGGCGCCAAAGATGGCCCAGAAGGGTATAAGCCTCTCTGGCTTTCACTATACGTGCATTGATCTCATCACTCACGCCACCACCATCAGAACTTATTCAGCTACCTAGATACACGAACTTCTCGACTACTTCTATCTGCTCACCATCGAGGGTGAGTACAGGATTAGAATCCTGCCAGTCTTGTAGAAGTACTTTGCACTTCGAAGGTGCAAAGCACATACCATACCTACGGACATTGATTGCCAACTGATTAAGTGCGGATTGCATAGCTTGGGCATTCTCGCACAGTAAGACAATATCATCGGCATACTCAAGGTCGAGAAGTCTTTCTCCAGGCAACAGATCCACACCACCATTACTTACATCCGTCAGAGCTGTTTCCAGAATGTCATGGATGGCAAAGTTGAATGGTGAGATTGGGCAACCCTGCCTAACTCCACTGCTTGAATGGAATAGTGGAGAAAGGTGTTTGTATGCCCTCACTCTGCCTGAGGTGTTTGTGTATAGGGCTTTCAGGATGTTAATAAACTTCTCAGGCACACCCTTCTTCAAAAGACGATCCCAGAGAACAGTCGTGTTCAATGAATCGAAGGCAGCCCTTATGTCAAGAAATACTACGATTGTTGACCTTTGATAAGTGAATAAAAGAACTGAGACAAGATATTACATAATTGATTGATTATTGGTGACTAAGTTCTTAAGAATACTTCTTGTTAAATTTTAAATCATTTAGATTTTTAATATAATAAAATTTATTCATATAAATGATGGTTCATAAAAACAACATTAACAAGATCAGTATATTAGTAAATGTTATTGTCAAGCTAAAGTTTTAAAAACTATGGTAGTAATAAGTTTATTACTCCCTCTTTTTGAATACATAGATCCGGTTTAAGTTTATTTTTTTATCGAAATAGCTTCAGCAAAACGGAGAGTAGCCGTACTTTTTTGTCTGCTAATAATTTTAAAAAGCATGAGAGATGTGAATGGTATGCTTAGTGTATCAAGTCAATGCTGAGCTATTCCACTGTTAAAAGCTCTAGTGTCTCTCAGCCTCAATTTTTTTGGAATATACTGAGAAATACAAACATGTACTCTTCTGTAGGTTCTTCCAATGTATGTACTTTGGCACATACATGTAAATTGGTAAATTCATTTGGAGTTATTGAGAAAGAGTAAACTTGTAGATTTTAGTTTGTTTGCATGAGAAGTTGATTTCTCATACCGATAATTGATGATTAAGTTCCTGAGAATACTTCTTGTTAAACTTTAAATCATTAATATTTTTAATATAATAAATGATAATTCATGAAAACAACATCAAGAAGATTAGTATATTAGTAAAGATTATTGTGTATTGAAAACATTTTACTAACGACTTTTTTTTTTTCTACATCACAAACTTTCCTATAATTGTAATATTGTTCCTTAATGATTTGAGAATTTAACTTTCTATTTTATTTTTATATACTAAAGTTTAATTAAATAGTTTATAATATTATTATTGAAATAATCTATTAGTGCTCATAGTTTAGTAAAATATCCTATACAATTTATATCAACTGTTGTATTACAACGTTTATGAAAAGTTTAATTCCAATTAATTCATAATTTATTTAACTTCAAAGATTATTATTGTTTATCGCTCCCAAATACCCTAGTATGACCGAGAGTGGGGTGGGCTCTCTCTCCCTGTCGAAATGCTCTTACACGGCCATGAGTATACAGTCTTTGCCAGGAAAGTTCTACTCACTGCCTTCTCGTACCACGGCTCTTGTTTACGAAAATGAGAAGACGAAAAGCGAATGTCCGGTGCTTTAACCGGACCCCAAACCAATGGTGCACATGGGCTCCAGTATCCTGATGGAACAAATGGTATATGAACCAATTGTTGGTCAACGGCTACCATGGGACTGCATCTCCTTACGATGCTCTACTGCCTTGTGGGTCAAAGCTTTAGGTCGAAGGCTCAAGGTGTTGCCTTCTAACAAAACCACCTGCTTTGGCCTGGGAACACGGGTAGTATTACAGCCCTCACACAAATCAAATGAGATCTGTGTGGCGCATATATATTTGGTGCCTTCTTGTAGCGATATCTATGTGTTCAAATAAATAAATAAATAAACAAACAAATAATTATTCTTTACCATGTATGATTTGATAATTGATCATGTAGGCATTATAAAATCAATAAGAAAAATTCTTAAATCAAGAATGGATAACTATTCAATACTTTTCTTAATGACCTTTCTTATCAAAAAGTTTTTATATTGTTTTATCAGAATTTAGTTCAATGAACTCCAATTAGCTCTTTACATAGAATGATAAAGTAATTCTATCCACATTTCCGATTTCGGTTAAGATCAAATACTTTCAAATGTAGGATAAAATTCAATAATTTCCAATTTTAAATCTATTAGTTTAACTCAATCCCAAGATAGAGTGGATTAGAAGAATACTAGTCAGCAGCCTATGCTCCATTAGGAAGAACAGGCGTATGTAAGTAAATAATTAAGTAAGTTTATATACTTAATGAGTTCATAGTATTGAAGAGTTCAATACATGTAATAAGATCATTGTACAATACTTGATTACTTTCTAATTATTTCCTTTTATTCATTTTAATCAATAATCTAAGTTATATGAAAATTATTTCACTGTAATTTATACATTTCATTATTTATCTTTTATCCATTTATCAAGGCTCCTTTACCATTTGCAATTATTTATGTGACAATAACATTCTTATTGGTTATTTTTACATTTATTGGTGCACCAATTGAATCATGTAAGTGATTTCTATCCTTCTATCTATATATCCATATATCCATATCCATATATACATCGAATCTTAATGATATGAATCGTGAAAAAAAAAACAACCGTAGAATATTACATAAAGCATAGGGCATATCAAGGTAAACTGTACAAGATGTATATATATATACCAACATAAAACTGATCAATTACAGTTCTAAATAACAATCAGAAGATATAAGTGATTTTAAAAATTTACTGCATTGCATAAGCAATTGGCTATCAGAACTCAGTTGCTAAGTCTCGGAGTAAATATCAACTCTGAGATACAGATATATTCAGTTGATCAGTCCTAAATAGGATGAAACATGCATTAAATTCGATTTCACTACTAACCATTATCCATTTTTATTGAACATAGAATATTTAGTTTTATTTTATTCATATTCAATGTTACGATATTTTCTTTTCTAATTCAATATTTCAAATACATTCAAATATCAAGAATATTTTATTGAGAAAATCCTTTATACATTGAATTAAGGTTATTGAAATGAAAAAAAAAAAAAACGAACACTTATTAAAGGAAACGGAAGTGATTTAAAGCAGTTTATATTGTTATTATTATTATTATTATAATCATTGTTCTATTCAATTCATTCTGTATAGTTTTTCATTTTAATTTACTTTTCTTTTAAAAAAATAATAATAATAATAAATTGATGAAGCTAGTTACTATGTTTAGTGAATTATTATTGAAAATCTTTTAATTACTAGTTATAAAACTATTGAAAATTTAACATAACTGAAAATCTATTTCATTCATAATTCAATCTTTAATAATAAGAACAGAAGATCTATCGACTTATATTAATCCTTGCAGTTTGTAATACTGTGGAGGTCCGATCTCGTTTTGAATATATCACATACCCTAGCACGGTCGACAGTGGGGAGAGTCCGCACACTCTCTCGAAATGTTCTCACATGGCCACGTGCATACTACCATTTCCAGGGAAGTTATACTCACTGCCTTCTTGCAACACGGGTATTGTTTACGAAATTAAGAGGACAAAAACCGAATGTCCGGAGCTTTAACCGGGTTGGTGGACATGGATAGTTCACCTAGGGGAGTTGAAAAACCCTGATTCTAAACCAATGGTGCACATGGGCTAGCTCCAGTATCCTGAAGAAACAAATGGCGTATGAACCAATTGTTGGTCACCGGCTACCATGACACTGCATCTCCTTACGATGCTCTACTGCCTTGTGGGTCAGACCTTCAGGTCAAAGGCTAGAGGTGTGGCCCCCTAAGAAAACCACCTGCTTCGGTTTGGGCACCCAGGCAGTATCACAGCCCTCACACATATCAAATGGCATCTGTGTGGCGCATATGTATTTGGTGCCTCCTTGTACCAATATCTATGTGTTAAAATAAATAAATAATAAATATATCAACAGAAGGTGCTGATATTTGATGTTCCGGTAGAGAATTCCAGTAAATCACTACTCAGTGCGAGAAACGACACTCTAGACGTAAACGATTTGATCTCAGTTTTTGAATTTTTTTCGAATGTCCTCTCAAGTGATCTGTCTTAGACGGAATTAAAAGATAAGACATGTTATTACCAAAGTCATCGTTCAGTATATGATAAGGCAATATTACCTCACCACGGCTGGCATTCAACGGTGTTATAATAATTATCTTTTAATGATTATATCACTGTTAAGAAAATCCTTTAAAATATTATTTACTATTCAATGAATAGTTTATGTTTTTTTTTTAAAAAAAACTTTATTGACTCCTTATTTTGATAAAACAATAAGAAGACAAAAGTTATGAGAATTCTGTGATATATTAACGCAATACATTTCGAACAATCTGATCACACATATAATATACTTGTTAAGAACATTTTTATATAAAAAATAAAAGGTCAACTATACAGATTAAAGGTAAGCCTTAACAATGAAAATCAAAATAAAGTACACAAAAACAATTTGATAACCACTCTGGTTAATAAATCAGTATTACTAGGGTAGGTTAAAGATAAGGATAAATCGTTTTTGGACGCATAAAAGGGGGTTTCAGTTTCCGTATAGCCATGCTACAACAAACCTTGGTATATGTCCTTGAAGGCTTTTGTACAACACTACAAATGTTGATTTAATATCAACCCTTTAACCGGTCTCAATCAAATGTTTCTGAATAGAGAATGATGTCTGTCTATGCTGTGATCTTATTTCACCATTGGAATTCATTTGTTTCTGCAGATATTTGGGTGTGCGTTCACTTATTGCTGACTATTGTATCACTATTACTCCTCCTTGTGTATGTGTTTCTGCACATACATGTATATTGATAGACACTATAGGATGTGACACAATCAGCTTTTGGTGAAACATAGACATTGTCTTTTCAATAATGACAATTTGGGTTACATAAAATGTCCGGTTGATGGCTAATTTAAATCTTCGTTTCAATATGAGACTATTTGATTCGCCTCTACATGTTAATATAATGTAAACTCCATTTTGGGTGCCAGAAACGTCATCAGTCCGATTGTATTGCAACCCTTTCAGCTGTTTATGAACCTCAATGAATAACCATTATTTATTAATGTTTCACTCAAGAGCTTCATATCTACTTCAATAGTATCCCTAGTACAAATATGATTGATTCTATTGAATAAGCCTTTTATTAATCCACGTTTATAATGAATTGGGCAGTGAGTATGGATATTTAGTATTGTCCTGTCCATGTCACTTTTCTATGTACAGAACGTTGGTTGGAACCATCATCTCTCGTAATAATCAGCATGTTTAGAAAAGGAAGTTGGTTATACTTCTCTTCTTCATATGTAAGAGAAATATACTTTTGATTTATCTTTAGTTCTTTTAAACAAGCGGTTCACATCTTCATGTTTATCCCCTATGATAATGGTGTCATCAACATACCGTTTAATCAGACACATCTCTTAAATCGAGTTTTCAGCTTATCTTTAACCTGTCTAATTGATCATTTAGTTTTCGTATAAAAATATCTTAATAAGTATATATGCGATCTAATTGTTTGAAATGTATGACCCTTTATTGTCTATTTTATACTGAATTAAAAATTATTCTCATTTTATGATTTTACTATTTTGTTAAAGTGTGTGGTAATCTAAACATATATATTCTAGTTCAAGTTTTGCTCAACATTCTCCACTGATCATTGCTCATTTTAACATAGATTACACTATTTTGCTCACAATTAATCATAAATGTAATTTCAATACACATGTGCTACACAAATCTCATATGATTTGTACGAGGGCTGCGATACTGCCCTGGTGCTCAAACGGAAGCAAGTGGTTTTCTTAGGGAGCCACACCGCGATCCTTTGACCTAAAGGTCTGGTTCACAAGGCGGGGAAGCAACGTAAGGAGATGCAGTCTCATGGTAGCCGGTGACCAACAATTGGTTCATACGCCATTTTTTCCTTCAGGATACTGGAGCTAGCCCATGTGCACCGTTGGTTTAGAATCAGGGTTTTTCAACTCCCCTAGGTGAACTATCCATGTCCACCAACCCGGTTAAAGCTCCGGACATTCGGTTTTTGTCCTCTTAATTTCGTAAACAATACCCGTGTTGCAAGAAGGCAGTGAGTATGACTTCTCTGGAAATGGTAGTATGCACGTGGCCATGTGAGAACATTTCGAGAGAGTGTGCGGACTCTCCCCACTCTCAGTCGTACCAGGTCATTTAGGGGTAGTCAACAACTTATGATCTGATATATTGATTTATTGCATAGTATTACTTTTATACTTTAGTAAGGTTTTGTATTTCATTTTAATTTTATCTTATGGTATTTAAACAGATTTCATTTTTAGGTTTTATGATGTTTGTATATTCAGTAATAGATTTATGATTAATGAATAGGATATGTCAGCAACAAAGTTAGATTGAAACTAAACTCATAGAAAATCATAAATCAATAATTTGTTAAATATAAATAATCACGAGAAAAATTGTAAAAAGAAAAAATAAAAATAACTTCCTGTATTTCATTGATTCAATCATTGAATATAAATCAATAGAGATTGATTTTATTGTTAATTGATAGAATAATCTTTGTAAATCTTTACATAGAATCTTTTAATTAAATTATTGTCTTACATTTATAACATTTACTAAAGTGATATATAGCAAAGTAATCTATATATCTACCATCCAAATGCCCTGGTACGGTTTACGGTGGGGAGAGTCAGCTCTCCCTCTGGAAATGCTCTCACATGGCCATGCGTATATAACCTCTGCTACGAAAGTCATACTCACTGCCTTCTCGTGGTAGGGGTGTTGTTCACAAAATTGAGAAGACGAAAAGCGAATGTCCGGCGCTTTAACCCGGTTGGTGGACATGGATAGTTCAACTAGGGGAGTTGGAAAAATTTGATTTCAAACCAGTAATGTACATGGACTCCAGTATCCTGAAGGAACAAATAGCGTATGAATGTATTGTTGGTTACCGACTACCATAGGACTTCTTTAGAGTAATCTCTTTATTATTTTTTTTGTTTACTCTGAAGAAGTAGCTTACATTACGTTACGAAACGTGAGAAATACAATTTTTCTACTTATCGGAATATAACAAACCAAATATATTTTATTATTAACTCTCTACTCAATGCTCAATTGATTTGAAATGATCAAGTTCTACCTTAATATTGATACTTATAAAGTTAATTTGTTTTACTCGGAAAATAAACTTTAAAAAAAAAATGAAAAAAATAATAATCATTTTATCAAATGTATCGATTAGAATTCAACTGAATCATTCTATGATTACTATAATTACTACTATTATTATTATTAGTAGTAGTAGTAGTAGTGTAGTGAACAGAACATGAGTGGGGGACAATCGAATGTAGTTGACAACAGATTACAGGACTTGTTAATAAAATCTAACAATCATATTGTAAATGTTTAATTTGCAAAATCTCCATCGATTGTCTCGAAATGACTGAGACTTCCTTTGTTGTTGCATTTTCATACCAATTTGCATTCTGTTCGCATTCTTTACTGTTCGATCATCTTGTTTCTCTATGCTGCCAGATATTCTGTTCACGATTAACATCATATACTACTTATGTCTACATATAAGTAGCATACATCATAATATTACTCATACTGTTTATTTTATGGTTTAAATAATAAAGATGCAATTTGACCCATATATATTACTGTCATTCAAAATATTTCTTTTTGTCTTATCTCCTTTCTAGTAGGATATAAGTCCCATTATTAGACCAGATCATCATTGTGTTTAGTGAAATGAATCGAACTAAAATGATTTATTTGTTTATGTTAATTATAAAATGTTAAAAGGAATGCATGACTTTTATATTGATCAATTTACCTTATTTAAACTAATCTATTTTATTATTCTATGTGAATCGTTCCATAAAAGAAAAAAAAGGTTTGTTGTTCTGGTCAATGAGTTGAGTTTGCTTAAAAATAAAGACAGAAATAATTAAATTTCGATTATTTCGATTAAATTATTAAAGAATTTACAAATACGATTTTACTTCCTTACGCCTATTACTCTCTCCTAGTGGACGAGCATAAGCTGCCCATCAGCACTTTCCATTCAAACCTGTCTCAAGTAATTCTTTCCAACTGTTTCTAGGTGTTATTTATCCTTTTTATATCTGCCTTCCTCTTTTCCACTTCCATTCATGATTTCAAGTTTGTCTCATGATATAGTTTCATGATTTGCGTAATGTGTGTCCTGTCTACTTCCAGTGTCTTTTCCTAATTTCCTCTTTAGCTGAAAGCTAGTTTGTTCTTTTCCATATTAGGTTGTTATTGTTAGTATCCGGTCAATGGATGTTGAGTATGTTACGTAGAGAACGATTTATAATTACTTTGTAAATACAGAATACTATTCGTTCTGAAATACTTTATTGACTAATCAGTATGTACTTGTGTTATAACTTGTGACCGCCAATTAGAAAGGAGTGACTTATCGATCGGATCAATAACGCGTAAACCCGTACGAGCAGCATGCAGTCTTGATTGGTCTAGCTTCCTGCCTAGCCCAGTCAGTTAACTCCAGAATACCAATCCGAGCCTGTGAGATATGAATCATGTATTTCAAACATACTCAGTTTATATACCAAACAAGCAGACCACAACGTAACAAAATAACATTTGTACAAAATCTGGCCAAAAGTAACTGTGAATGAGGAAGGTAGTAATTAATAGCAAGGAAATAATTCAACAATGGTAAATCGTATAATAATACTTCACGGGTCAAAACAAAGCTCATAATGAGAGAGATATGAATATGAATAGTTTAGTCATTTAACAATTATACCACAAAAATATGCTCATAGTGTTGATCCATAAATAAATCCCAACAGTTACCATTCATCATGCTCATTGGGGCATAACAACTTGAATAATACATTTTTTCAAAATTGCTTTATAAGTACTAGGAACTGATGATATCACTTAGAATAAAGTTTTTGTAATTAAACTATTTAGACTAGAGATTATTCTTAAAGCATCCACTTGGTTTACGAAGTCTCATATGTAGTTCCGATCGATTTATTCTAATGGTATAGAATGATAGTTGAAGTTCTTATTAAAGTTCTTTGAGTAACTACAATCAGTGTTTGGAGATTCTTTTGGTAATGCTATTTAATGCTAACTATAACCATTCAGTGTAAACCTGTCAATTTATTTCTTTGATGTGTGATGCACAAGACAGTGGGGAAACGTCAGGAGATGCAGTCCCATGGTAGCCGCTGATCAATAATTGGTTCATAAACCATTTGTTTCTTCAAGACTCTCCGTTTCCAGTCATCCGGTTAAAGCACCCGATATTCGCTTTTCATCCTCGCAATTTCGTAAACAACACCCATATTGCGAGATGGCAGTGGTTGTATGCACGTGTTCATGTGTGAGCATTTGAAGAGAGGGAGTGGACTCCTCACTCTCGGTCGTACCATGGCATTTGAGGGCAAAAATTAATTGACACTAATTGATTGATATTTTATATCTTTGAAATATGAAACAGTGTGTATAGACGATTTATATTCTCATATTGTCAATAGAATAAGCTGACATAGTAAACTATATAGATAAATGAAATTATTGGCTGTCATACTTTTACACGTTGAAGAATATTCATTGAATTTTTGATTGATCATTATTATGTTTCAGTTTTGAGTAAAGAATTATATCGGTAGGAGTCAAATGATGAATGGATTCAATAATTCACTTGTTGTGACTTTATATCCGGCTAGTTATTACGTGATTTATCCACCAATCAAAATACAACTTGTATAATCGTAGTACTGTGTCAAACCAATAACGTTCGACCGGTATGAGCAGCCTAGCGTGCTTATTGGTCCTATGTTCGCTTATCCCATTCACTTGAGTCCAGAACACCAATATCAGCTTCCACTATGCGAATCGAATCGAATCTAATCATTTATTTCAGACATACTGGGTTTATATATTAACCAAACAGACCGCAACGCATCGTAAAATAGGAAATAACATTTCTACACACAATAAAGCCAAAAAGTGACTGTAAACGTGGGAGGCAGTAGTCAATAGACTGAACATACCTTAAGAACAATAAATCGTACAATAATCAATTATAGGTTAAAATAAAGCTTATAACAAGGGGAACATATATATACGTATATATAATCTAGTTACTGAATAGTTATATCATCAAAATATATAAGTAATATTAGTTCGTTAATAGTCGTCGGGAGTAGTTACCTGTAATTTAATCTTTACTAGGATATAACATCAATGTAAATGATCATTGAACTCTTGTTTTATTCACTTATCTTAAATATTATTTATAGTAGTATATTTTCATTTGTTTATTTATTTTGTATAATTTAATGTTTACGCAGTTATTTTTATTGTTTATTTTAATTATTTTTTCATTCTTAGTAATGGGAGTACTTATTATCTTCACTGGAATTCCTGTTTATCTTATTGGTTGTGTATGGAAGAATAAACCGAAAGTATTTCAACGTGCATTATGTAAGTGTATCTGTTGTTTGTTTTCCTTTTTTATTTAATTTCATTGGTTGAAATCATTAGCCAATTGAAGCTAGACCACCATGAAAAACCTCGAAGCACTGGACGGCCGTTTCGTCCTAGTATGGGACTCTTCCATGGAAGTGTGCATCCACGATCCCGGTCGCCACGAGATTCGAACCCAGGATCTATCAGTCTCGCGCCAGGCACTCAACCAACTAGACTACTGAGCCGGCCGGCATCCAATGGTGTTAATGTCTAACTTTTAATGTTTATTTATTTTTCTCTATTTTTATTTGTTTTTGTTATTTATGTTTTTGAAGAATATTTTTTTATTGTGTGTGTGTCTTTTTGGAAGGAAACAATCAGTGAATGATAATTTTAATTGTGAATTAGTTGTTGTAAATGATGATCTATCTGAAGTCTAATTACACATTATTCAATATTGTTACTAAGCAGTGTTATCCTTGATCTATTAAGATCCCAACGGATTATAGTGTAATGGTGACAAACAAGTTCGATCAATAAAATTGATTTGTCAATATAAACTTCATATTATTACCATTAATAGACATTATGGGATTAAATAATTTCACTCAAACTATGTTTAAGTATCAGATGGGTTGAATACCGACTCAGTGATCTAGTGGTTAAGTGCTCGCGCGCGACACCAGTAGGTGCTGGGTTCGAATCTCACAGAGGGCGAAGTCGTGGATGCGCACTTCTGAGGAGTCCCACAACAGGATGAAACAGCCATCCAGTGCTTCCAGGTTTTCCATGATGGTCTAGCTTCTACTGACTCATGATCTTAATCATTGAAATTACTATGTTGAAATTCCAAAATAATTCTTCTTAACTCTATCTTGATGGATGCATAATTATTATCGTTGAATGATGATAATAAACCGAGTTAATGTTAAATAGCATGTTTGATATACATTTATTATCTTATCCTAGTTTAGATCATTGAATAGATTCAATACTATTAATTATATATTGAAGATGATTATTAATTTAATTATGTGTTAAATCATTGTTTAAATTATTCTGCTTTATGATAACATCAGGACTCAATAGTTAAATGGATAACGTGATAGCGTTTAAAGCGAACAATACTAGATTCGAGTGTCAGAGTCAATATCAACTCTAAGATGCAGGTACATCTAGCTGATAAGTGCCAAACAGGACCAAACACGGATGAAATTACATTCCACTGCTAAACAAAATGCATCATTGCCTATAATGATTGTCAATTAAGATACTATGAAGGCAATACACTCAGTATGCACATATACCAATATGAGACTGATAAATTGAAATCCTAAACATCAATAGTAAGATTGCAGTAAAACAATATCAACTTTTTAATAATTTGTGTCGGATAGAAACAGGTATCTACCTCAGTACAATGGAAGATAGTCGCTCAACTTCGTGGATTGGTTACGGTTGGACATTAATACTGTTGGATGCCGGCTCAGTGGTCTAGTAGTTTAAGCGTTCGCGCGCGAAACTGAAGGCCCTGGGTTCGAATCTCGCGATCGGGATCATTGCTTTCAAAGATATGATCAATAATAAGGATTTCTGCTATTTGAATCTATATAATCAAAAGATTAAGACAGTTGTTATTCTTGAAACTTTCCATGTTGATAATAGACGACATCTAATTGTTTATTTATTTGTTTATTTTAAACGCTACTGATAGTTTCATTATATTCAAGGTGGAGTCTTTTTCTTTTCCTCATTATCGTATTCTTTCCTAACAATCTTTTGTTTGCATTAAAATATCCGAGCGATAAAGTGAATGAGTGTGAAATAATCAAATGATAGATAGCAGTAATTATTTATTTATTTTAACACATAGGTATTGGTACACGGAGGCACCGAATACATATGCGCCATACAGATCTCATTTGATATGTGTGAGGGCTGTGATACTGCTCGGGTGCCCAAACCGAAGCAGTAGTTATTAATCTTATTGTATGAAAATGAATTCATACATTTTAATGATTATCAATTTACTCTTAATAAACATAGCCTATAGCTTAAATGTAACTTAATGAATTAGAATTGTGATTATCGATCTATGATAACCAGAGTTATCATTTGTAATTGAATAGTAACACAGATATGATTGAATAATATAATAATTACTTTTAAGTAGTAGTTCACTCTATGGACTAAATTTTGTTAGACAATCATTAAAAGCTAAAAAACAGTACACAACTGCGACTCGATCATAAATTGAATTTAGAACCTTTTCAATTTACAGGTTAGCTCTTAATCTTTAGACTAGTAAATTCACATTCTGTAATTAGTCTTTGCATAGTTACTAAGTATTATATTAATCTCAATGGTTGAGGTCACAAGTCAATTGGAACTAGATTACCATGGAAAACTTAGAAGCACTGGACGGCCGTTTCGGTTTATTAGAGGATTTCTCAACAGTACCCGCTGCGAAATCCTACAATAGAAACAAAAAGCTGTCCAGTGCTTCTAGGTTTTCCATGGTGATCTAACTTTTATTGACTCATGACATCAACTATTGAAATTACTAATATAATATTCACAAAAACCCCTTTCTGATATTTCAATTATATTTTATCAATCTATCATTTATATTTCTACATTTTGTTTATTCTCTTTTTTATAGATGATTTCACATTGGGTTCACAAAAACTTTTACAATTAATACCTGAAACATGATTACTTAATTAATTTAATGTGCTTATTCAATATATTAATAGTTGCACACACATACACATACACATAGAAACAATGTCAAATGACAGTGATTATTTATAACATTATTATTATCATTATTATTATTGAACTTTTTTTATTGATCAAAGGAAAGTTTACTTTTTTTCTTCTTTGATATTTTCCACTTATAATTCATTAAATATATTATGTTTTTTAATCATTAATCAATAAATGAACACATTTATGTTCCATTGAATTGATACTCTATTATATTCAATTAAAGTAATTGATGTGTTATTAATAAGTTGATGCATCATAAATCATTAGTTACTAAGTACATTAAAATAGAAAAATAAAATGTTATGTACCTGGCAATAAAATTGCATTTATTTATTGATTGATTGATTGATTAATTGATTGATTGATTGATTGATTGATTAATTGATTGATTGATTGATTTGATAAACTAATTATAAACAAACAAACAAAAAGCATTTTGGTTTCTTTTTTCGTAATATCCACATCATTGAGTCAATTTTGATGATGATGATGATGACGATGATTTAAATTTTCTAATTTGGATATCTATAATCATTCCTGTTTTGTTTTATGAATTCGTTTTATCACTTTTTTTTGTGCTCTCTCCATTATCCATTATTATTAAATGTCAAGTTTATATTTATGTTGCTAAGCTATCGTTTCTCTTTTTCTCTTTTTTCTTTGTTTTATTTATAATGATAATGAATGTAATATTAATTTATTTTATTATGTTGTTTAAATCTTATTGTATTATTTCCTATTAGTTCAATGTCTACTTAGATCTCTATCTGTTTTTCTGTTTATCTTTTCAATGAATTTAACTTGTTGTTTGTTACTATAATGTAAATGAAATATTTAAAGTTTAAATGTTTAGTTTTTTGTTTCATTTTATTCATATACATCATTATTATCATAAATGATGTGAATAGATCCATTCCATAATGAATACAATATCCATCAGTTAGTCAGTCAATCAGCTACAACGTGGTGTGGTGTGGTGTCCTAGTTATATTAACATAAGTAGTATATGACATTAGTCACGAACAGAATGTCTGCTGGCAGAGAGACAGGAGGATCAAATAGTAAAGAAAAAAATGGAAACAGAATGCAATTTGTATGAAAATGCAAGAATAAAGGAAGTCTGAGTCATTTTCAGACAATTAATGGACATTTTGCAAATTGAACCTTTATTTATATAGTTGTTAGATTTTATTAACAAGTTCTGTGATTTATTGTCGAGCACATTCGATTGTTCCCCACTGGTGTTCTTGTTTATTACAATGGGACCAGGTACATTTATGCATCGGTCTAAGTTGCCATATCCCACTCATTACCACAACAATAATGCATTAGTTCAATCCAAAACAAAAAAGAAAACAGTAAACATTTACTATTCTCATATATAATCTCATTTTCAAATCCTTCATCATTCCTAGAATTATATACAAAATAACCTGTTTATAATTGCTTAGCCAATTCGTCTTGTTATAATATTACATTCATTTGAAATTGTTTAGGGAAAACAAAAAAACTATAGAATAGAATAATATTAAGTTATCTATTACTAACAAAAAGAATAGTTAGTTAACAACAAACATGAAATACATAAAATACAATGAAATATATGACAATTATGTAACTAAGCTAGATTAATTCAACACACACACACACCCTCGCACTCCTCTCCACTTTTAACCAATCAGAAAGTGGATATTGTTTGTACTTAGTTACTATCACTAAACAAATATGTTTAGTTTACTTATGATTAACTTAATTTTTCCAACTTTTCAATGGGTTACTTTTGATTATTAAAAATCAGTTAAAATATATTCAGTATAAGAATTCATATCAATAAATCCATATCATTTTATATATTATTCCCTTTATAGAAATATAAATCAAGTATGAAGCATCCTTAAATAGCGCTTACTTGATTTTGTACAGATTATTAAATAGTCATTTATTGTATTTAAACAAATACAATGTTATATTCTTATCAAGGAAACCATCTGTACGCTTGTCAATCGAACACATAAATGATTAATTTTGATGAAACATATGTTTTATTCTAAATAAATAATAGAAAGAAACCAGATTTTCTAACGTTTCGTAACTTAGTATAAGTCACTTCTTCAGAGAATAATAAATAACCAAATTAAAATTAATCTAATGCTCAATTTATTTAAAATTATCAAATCAAATCTTGGTGATGATACTTACTTACGCCTGTTACTCCTTGTGAAGGAGCATAGACCGCTCACCAGTATTATCCATTCAACCCTCTCCCAAGCAATGCTTTACAGCTCATTCCAGTTCTTATTCATCCTTTTCATATCCGATTCTATTTCCTGATGTAATGTGTTCTTTGGCCTTCGTCTTTTCGACTTCCCTTCAGGATTCCAAGTTAGCGCTTGTCTCGTAATGCAGTTTGATGATTTCCTCAAAGTATGCCCTATCCATTTCCATCGTCTTTTTCTAATTTCCTCTTCAGCTGGAAGTTGATCGGTTCGCTCCCACAAAAGGCTGATGATATTGGTATCAAGCCAATGGATGTTGAGTATCTTGTATAGACAGCTATTGATAAACACTTTTACCTTCTTGATGATGGTTGTTGTAGTTTTCCAAGTTTCACCTCCGTACAGTAGAACTAACTGTCTTGACATTCGTATTGAAGATTCTCACTTTGATATTGGTTGAAAGTTGTTTTGAGTTCCATATGTTTTATCAATTATAGGAATGAAGCCCTATGAGTCTTATTTATTAGACTAAGAATAATCATCTTACTGTATTTCCTTTTATTTCTCAATGCTTAATCTCAAATTCTACTAAAATTCACTACAGTTCAACTAAACTATTACAAACTCAATATATTTTTCTATATATTCCTTCTTTTATTTCTTCATCACTATCTGATTTAGTTTATACAATTCTACTACTAACAAACGACATCAGTAACTATATAAACAAAACAGATATTTTTTGTCTTGTTATTAGAACCATTTATGAAGTCCTGTACATGTACATTGGTAAATATTAATTTACCGGTAGTGCTTAGAAGAGTTACCAATATGACAAGTCTACTTCAAATGAAATCATTTGTTTCAGAATTATATTCAAATTGTTAGTTCTAGTTGATTCTTCGTTTTAGCATAAATAACACTAAAGTTTACTACCATACCCTATTTTACTCGTTCGACATAACCGATTACTTATAATCTTATATTGACATTTTTTTCAACGTGTATTCCAAAGTTAGCGACTATTTACTAATAAGATTTTCATAAGTACGTCAATAATAAGTATCAATGTCAAACTTGAACTTGTCAATTTCAGATAAATTGAGCATTAAGTAGAGAGTTAATAATGAAATATATTTCTTTTATTATATTCCAATGAGTAGAAGAATTATATTTCTGACGTTTCGTGACTTGATTTAAGGCAGTTCTTCAAGTTGTTGTTTCTGACAATGATTAGCTTAGCATAGCTTAACCGGGCATGTTAGTTATTTACATTTTTAGATTTAGAAATTATGGTAACTTGAGATATGATATTACTTACTTACGCCTGTTACCCCTAGTGGAGCATAAGGTGCCGACCAGCATTCTCCAACCCACTCTGTTCTGTGCCTTCTTTTGTAATTCCATCCAATTCTTGTTCATTTTTCTCATGTCTGTCTCCATTTCTCGGCGTAATGTGCTCCTTGCTCTTCTTCTCCTCCTTTGGCCTTGAAGATTCCATTTGAGGGTTTGTCTTGTGCTAACACAGTTCGGTGCTTTCCTCAATGTGTGTCCTATTCCCTTCCAGCACTTCTTCCTGGCTTTTCGTTCGCTAGCATTTGATTTGTTCTCTCCCACAGTAAGTTGTCGTTGATAGTGTCTGGCCAACGGATCCTAAGTATTTTGCGTAGACAACTGTTAATAAACACCTGTATCTTTTGGATGATCGCTTTCGTAGTTCTCCAGGTTTCCGCCCCATACAGTAAAACTGTCTTCACATTTGCATTGAAAATTCTGACCTTGGTGTTGGTTGGTAACTCTTTTGAGTTGCAGATGTTCTTCAGTTGTAAATATGCTGCTCTTGCTTTGCCGATCCGTGCCTTCACATCTGCATCAGATCAACCATGTTCATCAATGATGCTGTCCAAATATGTAAAGGTTTTTACATCTTCCAAAGCTTCTCCGTCAATTGTGATTGGATTGGTACATGTTGTGTTGTATCGAAGAATCTTGCTTTTCCCTTTGTGTATATTGAGACCTACTGTTGCTGAGGCTGCTGTTACACTGGTCGTCTTCTTCTGCATTTGATGTTGCGTGTGTGATAGAGGAGCCAGATCATCTGCGAAGTCTAGATCATCCAATCGCATCCTAGCTATCCACTGTATCCCGTGCTTCCCTTCAGATGTTGATGTCTTCATGATCCATTTGATCACCAGGAGAAAGAGAAAGGGTGAGAGTAAGCAACCTTGCCTGACACCGGTCTTTACTTCGAACGACTTTGTCAACTGTCCTCCATGAACGATTTTGCAGTTTAATCCATCATAGGAATTCTGTATGATATTGACTATCTTCTGAGGCACGCCGTAGTGTCGAAGAAGCTTCCATAGGGTTGTTCTGTCCACGCTATCAAATGCTTTTTCGTAGTCGATGAAGTTGATATAGAGTGATGAATTCCATTCAATTGATTGTTCCACAATGATCCGTAGAGTTGCGATTTGGTCTGTGCACGATCTATCCTTACGGAATCCTGCCTGTTGGTCTCGAAGTTGGGCGTCTACGGAGTCCTTCATCCTGTTTAACAATACCATGTTGAAGACTTTTCCTTGTATTGAAAGAAGAGTGATTCCCCTGTAGTTGTCACAGTTGCTGAGATCGCCTTTCTTTGGTATTTTGACTAGAAGTCCTTCTTTGCAATCTTTTGCTACCTGTTCCTTATCCCAAATCTTTCTGAAGAGAATGTGAAGTATC